AGAGTTGGAAGCTCTTAGGATTGATAGCTTATAGTAGATAGAATGGTGTAGTGATGTGAATACACAAAGACGTGCTATAACCCCCCATCTTATACCAAACCCTCCCAAAGTCCCCAAAACCCAGTCCACGCAATCTCATTCCCTCCAAGTCCCTGAAATCAAGTTCTACACATGCCCAGCACCCTGCATCTGGCTGCGATCGTCTATCTCACGTCATGCAGGGACCCGGACAAGCTTGTGCCCTGGTATGTACATGAGTCGTGGCGCATGACGTGCCCTAACAGCTTTTTACCTTGTCACAACGGCCTTGGTGTGGCTTGTTCCATGCAAAGAGCGAGTTACGATGGCCGTTGGTGCTAGGGGTCTTGGAATCGGGGTGGGAGGCCGAGGCTGGATAAGGTCATAGCGCTGCGCGACTGGACCCTGATTTTAGGGCGGGATGTACGTCATACCTCTGAATAGCTTCATCGGCGTCATCACTGGGTTGTGAAGATTGCGAATACGGCGCCGAGGGTTTGGTCAAGTTGGTAGTAGGTCGTAATACGGTACTGAACTCGTCAACACAAGGTTGCGAGCACAACGCAGTCTGAGAAAGTGTTACAGGTCTGATCGACTCGATGACGTCGTGACCGATGAGCTCGGTGGGGTTGCTTCAGAAGGTGCCCCGACTGCATTTCTCGTAAGTAATCCGAGCTGCAGTCTGAATTCTCTTCTCTTCTCAGTCGGAGGCTCTTATGTCCTTCAAAGAATGCAGCTGTCGATCACAAGGCCGTGCGAAAGAGCGCGTCAAAGCTACGGGTAAGGCTGAGGCGACGTTAGCCGTTCCCACCAGTTCGTGCCAGCATCGACACATCGACCGATGGCATTCTATCGTCGATGGACATTCCAATAGTCCCATCCTTCGGTGAAGTTCCGCCTAACTCTTACCACGCCAGGCTCCACTCTTGCACATGAGCGTGCCGTGACAGCCTTGTGATGTCACAAGAAATCATGAACGTCAATAAAAGTTCGACTTCGAACTGCGCTGGTCTGGACAATTACACCAACCTTATCCTAAATCAAACACCTGCACTCAATTTCTCGTCTTTAGATTCTCTTTACTGATCCCGAGATACCCACAAACAACCACACAACATGTCGTCCAACAAGGGACAATTCGAGCAGGGTAAGCACGCATGATAGCGTCCGAATGCTTTCTTGTACTGACTCAGTATCACAGGCTTCCAGCCCGATGTTCAGCACCAACAGGCCCCCGGTCTCGAGTCCAAGCTAGACCCCCTGCCCAAGGTCGACGAGCTCCCAACCCCCGAGGGAGGAGCAGAGAAGTACAAGGCGGCCGGCAAGCTCAAGGGCAAGCGCGCCATCATCACCGGTGGAGACTCCGGCATTGGCCGCTCAATCGCCGTTCTCTTCGCCATGGAGGGCGCCGACAGCTTCATCGCCTACCTCCCCGAGGAAGAGAAGGACGCACAAGACACCAAGAAGATGGTTGAGGAGAAGGGACAGAAGTGCTACACTCTGGCCGTCAACCTGAAGGAGAGGGCAAACTGTCAGAAGGTTATCGACGAGGCTGTCAAGCAGATGGGTGGCATTGATATCCTTGTCAACAACCACGCTTACCAGATGATGATCAACGACATCCACGACCTTTCCGAGTACGTGTCACTTCCTCTTCTTGCTGATATCACATACTAACAGCACACAGAGAACAATGGCTCCACACCTTCGACACAAATATCCACCCCTTCTTCTACCTCTCCAAGTACGCCCTCCCCCACATGAAGCGCGGCGCAACCATCATCAACAACGCCTCCATCAACGCCTACGTCGGCCGCCCCGACCTCCTCGACTACACCTCCACCAAGGGCGCCATCGTCGCTTTCACCCGCGGTCTCTCAAACCAGTACGTCGGACGGGGTATCCGCGTCAACGCCGTTGCACCTGGTCCCGTCTGGACTCCTCTCATTCCTGCTACCATGAATGACGAGGCTATCAAGCAGTTCACTGCCCCGATTGGCAGGCCGAGCCAGCCTAGCGAGATTGCTACTTGCTTTGTCTTCTTGGCTAGTAATGATAGCAGTTCGATTAGTGGGCAGACTATTCATGCTAACGGTGGTACTATCGTCAACGGTTAAGTGAATGGAACTGTTACGGTATCGGTCACCTCGACGCGGATGATGCATCTTACGAGTCTACGAACATGTAATATAGTCAAATGAATGAATTGTAATGCACACGACCCTGATCCCCATACTGTGATACATGGCTACATCCTCTGCTCTCTGCAATTTGACCTGATGTCCTGCCACTGGTTGTTATGCCTGTCCCCCAATTCACTTCTACTCATAGTAAGATATACTCATTACAACCTTTGCATTCACAAATCCACTGTGGTATCTACCTCTAAGCAAACCAGTTCCATCATATTACCCTACAAATCTACCTCGCACTCTCAAGAGTGACTTGCAGCCCCATCCTGCCTCGGCGTAGGCCCCTCCTTCATCTTCTTCATAATATTACTCAACTTCCCACCTCCACCACTCCTCCCTTCAATCTGCGATCCAGACACCGGCGGCCCTTGATACGCCGTCTTGCCCGGTACCGCTGACTGCCCTACACCCGACTGAGCAGGAGGGGGTGGTGCAGCCCCGATTGTAGGTCCTTGTGGCTGCGAGTGCGACACCGATGTATGGTTCCCCATGTGTGGTTGTTGCTGCTGCTGCTGCTGCTGTTGTTGTTGGGCAGCGTATTGGCGGGCGCGTGCGGCTTCGATTTCCGATCGACCTTTGTCGATGATGGCTTGGTTTTTTGCGTGCGCGGCGGGGTTGCGGCGGTCGAATGTGTCGTTGAAGGTTCCGCGGAGGGTTTCTCCTGCGCCCTGTCGTGTCGTGTTAGTATACATACGTATGAAGAGTGGGAGTACGTGTGATGCTTACGTGAATACCCGCTGCTGCAGCTTTGAGGTTCGCCATCGTGCTCTGCTTGTTCAGATCGTGGCCAGCGCGGTATGGAACCGGACGGTCTGAATCATTGACGTTGTTGGTGTTGATGCCGGACTGTAGGCTAGGGGGTATGCTGGATGGCTGTTGGTTTGGAATGGGCGGCATACCAGACTGTTGCTGTTGGTATGCGGGCATTTGAGGAATGCTCGATCGCCGTAGTGGTTGCTGTTGTCCTGGAACTGGAGGTACGGGTGGAATGCCATCCTGGTGTTGCTGAGAGTCCATCCGCTGGTGATCTGGATGAATGCCATTCCCAGGCACCTGGCGTGGAACTCCTTGGGGCGGTGCTCTCGCAGGGTAGGAGAAGTTCGCACGGTTTGGGCTGCTTGGAGTGACTGGGCTGACAACTTCCTCCATCGGGTTCGGCCTCTGAACTCCAGGCGATACCGAGTCCAGTTCTACTCTGTGCCGTATGTTGTTCTTCGCTGGTATGGGTGGGGAGGAAGGACCGTCGGTGTTGGAGACTTGTGGAGAGAGTCTGTTGCCTGGCTGGTTGTTGCTCATAGGCACTGGCGGAGTGATGTTATGAGGTATAGCGGACTGCGCTGAAAGACCGGGGCCTTGATGGTAGTGGTTGTCCGGCTGAGGAGGAGCCGGCTGTGGTGGGCTGGGTCCAGAAGTGTGTACGCTTTGCTCAGACGGAGCAACGCTGTCGCCGCGGGGCTGCTCTACAGTAGTAGAGCCACCTGGGCCGGTTGTAGTGGTCGTTGTCGTTGTGGTGGTGGTTGTGACGGTGACGATGTTCCCTGAACCAGCATCGCGATATGTCTCTCTGCCCACATCTTCATGGCTCGACCGGCTTTGAAGCGTTTGTTGGGTTTGCGTGGGAGGCGCAAGGGTATTCTGATGTTGCCCGTTCGGTGGTGTAGTGTGAGCGGGAGGTGCCTGGGTGTTCGTGGGCGGATGGTTGTACTGTTCACCAGAGATGGGACGAGCTTGGTTCTTGAAGCTCGGATCTGCGCTGCTGCGCTCGCTACTGTAATACGCCGAGTCGGCATCCCTGCGCGCCTTTTCCTTTTCTTCCTCTTTGTGAGTAGGGTTAAGACTATCTTTCGATGCCTTCTCTTTGGAAGAGAATGGGTTGGACATGCGCCATTTCGACCGCTTTTCCTTCTCAGCCGACGTCATGTTGTCGGAGCCGGACATGGGCTGCGAGGAATTGGCTGCGGGTTGACCACTCAAGCCACCGGTCATCTGCTCAAGTTCCTGTCGTTCGCGACTCTTTCGCTTTTGAAGTTTGGCAGGTTGTCGGAAACCGTCATCCATTGCCAGCAGTACACCCAATTTCGGTTGACAGGTGGGACCCGATTACGATGAGCACGTGGAGAGCAGGTCTAGGGAACGGTGGTCGAAGCTCTTGACCCTGGAATAAGAAAATACTGTATGTATAACAGACAGTATGTGAGTATGTGCAAGGTGCGTCAATGTCAGTAGTGGGGAAGCCTTTGTATCGAGGACGAAACCCGAAGCAAGGCCTCTCTGCCCGCTGAAGACCCCATGATATCATACCGTGGTTCTGTGGCGCAGGAGAAGTGTGGCACCCAATTGGGAGAGCCAGCGCGTGGCGATCAGTGGAAAGACGGCTGACAGGCAGGGATCTTGACGCTCGATGATGCTTGAGGGAACCTTGCGAACGGACTATCCAAGTTTGCGGACTAAACTATGCTTCGCGCGGTTAGCCCATTCGGAGTCCTATTCGCGTCGTGGGAGGTTCGCAGTGTTCTCGAGATGAAGCGCTTAATTGATGACTGCTTGCGGAATGAGAGGCAAGGCTGTTTCATCATGGGCGATGTTCGTGCAGCGCAGCTCGGCGTGCTACTCCGCCCACTCAGCCGCAACTCAGCCCGCTTAGCTCGAGGCATCAACAGACTGAAGCTGCTACAATCACATTGTTATCACCATATTCTTGCACATTTCACAACTTCTCTCGAAGCCATCGTCATCTTTTTTCATTATGCTTAACAACCACATCTTGCCGTAGTTGTACGTAATTCTATCATGGCGGAGGTAGTAGGCCTGGTCGCCAGCGTCGTTCAGCTGGCTGGCGCAGGCTTGAACCTGTCAGAAACGTTGTACCACTATGTTGATGGCGTGGCTACTGCCGATCGCAGGATCCAGGATATCGCGAACGAAGTCAAACTCACAAGTTCGGTCATCAAAGAGCTGGGGACCATCTTCGAGAAAAACGATACAGCAAACCTGATTTCGGAAAATGCGGTCAAGACGGCGAACGAGACATTCAAGGAGTGCTTTGCAGTCTTCACGGAGCTTGACTTGAAGATCAACAGGGGCAAGCCAGGCAAGCCAGATAAGATAGGAAAAATGAGTCGACTGATGTTACCCTTCAAAGAAAACAAGATCGAACTTCTGCGAAGCCAAATTGAAAAGCTCAAGAGTACGCTGCAGCTGCTGATGCAGGTCCTCATACATGCCCACCAAGTCTCTTCAGAAAAGTACAGCCGCGAGGCTGAAGCGAAACACCGGGAAGAGATTAAGCAGTTGCTCGAAAACAAGAAGCAGGCCACGAAGAAGTACGAGGAGTCGCTAAGAAATTTCAGTATCAGCGACGGCAGCACTGCTGTGGATGATGGCGATCGATCAGTACAAGATGAAGACGACTTTGGTTCGTCGTCTAACCTCTTCAACGCTGCGGGAGCCATGGGCTCAACGATCAACCCCGATACAATTGCCACATGTGTCGACCATGTACGAAGCCTGCTCGCAGATATTGAGACATTGCAGCTTGCTTTGGCCAGACAAGTAAATGGGGACGACCACTCAGATCACCATCAGAAGGCTATTGGATCTTACTTTCTCGCTCGCTCTCATCTCGACAGTGTCCTGCTTGGCAAGTCTCAAGCCAATGTCACTGATGCGCAAATGCGGCAATCGAGCAGCGAAGCGAGCGGAGAGAACATAGCATCTGCTGTGGCAAATGTAACGCCGCCCGATAGCCACGCCCTCGCCGCTTTGCGCGACGAAAGGGCACGAAAAGAAATGAAGATAAAGATGGAAATGGAAATGGAGCGGGCACGTATCGTTGCTGAAGCGAGAACGAAGTCAGCCGACGTAAGCATAAATGACAAGGAGAGAGAGGCAGCTTGGATGATAGAACGAGAAGTGCGCCTTGAGCGCGAAGCCAGAGATCAAGTGAGGGCCGAAACGGAGCGTGAACGCAGGGCGCACGGGTCAGTTCATCGCCCTGCATTGCGTCCGGATAGTATCGAAGATTTTCCCATCGATTTTCCTCCTAGTGCTGAGTATAGGCAAACCAAGTACCGCGAGGAGCATGCATCACCTCGCCGCACCAGTTCCGAGAACCGTGAACTACGCAAAGTTGAAGAGGAGCGTGCACCCAATCGAATTGCAGCTGGGCCGCCTATTCTTCGGTCCAAACCCTCGAGCTCTCCTGTAGGTGACGTTCAGCCCCGCTCTATAAGCCAGGCGAAGTTCGGGAAGCTGGAAGCTCGCGCTCGAGGCGAGAGACTTTGGCAAGAAGAGATGCGAAGAAGAGAGGGCATTACTACTCCTGCAAGGGATGATGTATTCCCCAAGCGCGGCTCACGTCCACGTGCATCATTACAGCCATCGCAGTCAGTCCGCGATAAACCTCGTTCACTATCAGCTTCATACCTGTTAGAAGAGCGCCGTCCATCCACAGTTATCGTTAATACCGCAACTTCACCTCCTAAGAAAGTGTACAAGAAGTTGTATTCGAAGGACGCACCGAAACTTGTGATCGCTGAGCAGCGTTTGAGATCTAGAAGTAGAGAACGCCCTTACGACAGCAGTAAGCCCCGACCGCGCCTTCATGGCATGAGTGATAGCGATAGCGATCGCCCCACAGTGCCCGCAAGCATGTATCGCGACACAGAGCCAGCCTGGCGAAAGCCACGTCCTTACAGCTTGGAACGTGGCTCTCGTCCCACCAGCATGATCTCGGAGCGTCCTAGGCCGTCGCGCCGCAAGTCCATCGATGAAGTCAAGGATTTCGACGAGTCAGCGGGCGTAGGGGGAATCATCGGCGCAGCCACCAGCAACCGTGACCAATTCCGCTCACGCTCTCCTTCAGATCACTCGAACGAAGACGCTGGTATCATCAGACCGTCCAAACGTGTACAAGAAGAGGGCAGGACCAAGAAGCGAGAAGAAAAGATGCTTGACGAGTGGGGATTGAAACCGAGGAGGGAAGGGCTAGAGAAAGCAAGACGCGATATGAAAGGGAAGAGTCCAAAGAGTAGGTCTAGTCCTGTTTTTGGAACTTTTGGTGTCCAAGTCTACAGAATACTTAAGTACCACAACATCGAGAGTACAACGCTAACGCTACCATCAACAGACCCAACGGGTACGAAGGAGAAGAAACAAGGAAGAATAAGTTTACAGAGCTCCGCTGGAGCTATGTGTAAGTTAGACTCATTCGCCCGTTACAGCATGTCACTGACACAGTGTAGCCAGCTACCCGTTGCCTGAGATGAAATTTAACGATATGGCAAGCGTGGTAGTGGTCGACGAGGTAGATGAGTTATTGAGAGACTGGACAACCGTACTTGGATAGTAGCTTCATCATCGCAAAACCGTACACATAACACCATACCTCCTCGAGATTTCGTTGATACCTATCCGTTGTGACTTGTCGTAGCATACTTGCCACCCGTCCTCTACTCCTACATCTTCGAAAATATTATCGCAGTATTGTAGTGTTCACGAAATCTCGTAATAGAAATGCAGCACCAAAGATTCTTAGATTCATCGTCAAACCATCCCGTTCTCGCACCTTTCATCAATCTAATGCCCCATCCTGTTTCATCCGGCCCTCGCAACCCCAACCCAACATCCCCCGACATCGCCCTCCGATATCGAACCACACCGAACAAGGTAACCCATCCCACCTCACACTTTTCCGTCCCGTGCCTATCCAACGCCGACATCTTTTCCGGTGCGACGCGACACTCACGCGCCGGCACATCATCACGGTTCCAGTTCGAGTTCGCCGTGACAATTTTTCAAGACATGCCCGTACCACCGCACCCCCATCCCGGCGCGACCCTGACAAAACGCATAACATAACACCAACTCACTCCCTCGCCGCGGGCGTGCCGCTAATCGAAAGCGGTAATAAGCTATGCGCGCCCAACTCGCATTTGGCGTGTGGGCTTTTTTGCTTCTTCTTCGACGTGGACGGGGACGAGCAGCAGTGGGGTCGGGAATCTTTGCGTCGTTGCTTTTTTGGCGGGGCAGGGGCGCGTGGGCGCGTGGAGGGGTCCTGTCCTGCAATGCAAGCCCAGGGGCGCCACGCGACTGTGCTTGAGCCCTGACTAGGAAACTTTGTGCATTGCTTTTTATGGTGAGTAATTTTCTAGGAGGCTTGGTGACGTGATGGCGTGATGAATAATTTGAGTCGTGAATGCTGAGGATTGGGTTTGGGATCGTGTCTATTTTGGATAGCTGTGTCGTATTGGGGAGGGTTGGAGTGCGGTTTTCTCCGGTGTGTCGGTTGCAAGGTGATGCGCATGTGTGTGATGTTGGTGATGGGTTTCAAGTAAAGCTTGGTGGGCAGAATGTGATGAAGTATTTCATGATTCTATTCATGTAGGTATCTATATACAAGTGGAAGCATCCAGCTTCCGAACGCCAAGGACATTGAAGGTATCGTAAGGTATCATATACAAAAGGCACTCCGCTCAGCAGCGAACTGTTCACCACCAGTCACCCTGGTCGTGCATGGCGGCAGCGACCTTGCGGAAACCGGCGACGTTGGCACCACCGACGAGAGATGGGAACTCGCCCTCGGCAGGGGTGAAGTACTCCTTGGCGGTACCCAGGCAGTTCTCGAAGCAGTCCTTCATGATGCCCTTGAGCTTCTCGTCGACCTCCTCGGCGGTCCATGACAGACGCTGGGAGTTCTGGGCCATCTCGAGACCAGAGACGGCGACACCACCGGCGTTGGCAGCCTTTCCGGGAGCGTACCAGATAGCCTCGCCCTTCTTCTCGCGACGGTGAGCCTCGAAGACCTCGATAGCCTCCTGTGTGCAGCCCATGTTGGAACCCTCAGCGATGAACTTGGCACCAGACTCGATGAGAGCCTTCGCCTCGTCCTCGGAGACTTCGTTCTGGGTCGCTGAAGGAAGAGCAACGTCGACCTTCTTGACCTCCTTCCATGGGCGGGCACCCTCAATGTACTTGAAGCTGTGGTTCTCCAGAGCAGTAAGAGCCTTGCGCTCTAGCTTGAGGGCGGCGATCTGGTTGATGATCTCGGGGGTGAAACCCTTGTCGTCTTCGGCGATCAAAGCGCCCTTGCTGTCGCTGAGAGAGATGACGGTTCCGCCGAGCTCGATGATCTTGAGCGCAGCGTACTGGGCGACGTTTCCGGAACCAGAGAGGGCAACACGCTTGCCCTTGAACGACTCCTTTCCGCCTGAAGCGTAGTTGATCATGTGGTCAACGTAGTATACGAGACCGTAACCGGTGGCCTCGGGACGGATCAAGCTGCCTCCCCATGAGCCACCCTTGCCAGTGAGGACGCCCTCCCAGCGGTTGCGCTCTGCTCGGTATGCGCCGAAGAGGTAACCGATCTCGCGTCCACCGACGCCGATGTCGCCCGCAGGTACGTCTGTGTCAGCACCTGTGATTTACGTAAGTGAAATGTTCCTAGTGGAGAACCAAGAAAGCAGCGCGAACGTCGCCGACGGGGCAGTGCCAGACAGACGGGAAGATAAGGCAAGATAGACCCGCCAGATCTCGTTGGTCTGCTGTCGGAAGAGCATGCGAACCGTTGAAGGTGCATGCCCCACTGAGGCTGAAGTGAAGGGACGCGCTAGGGTCAAGACATACCGATGTGCTTGTTGAGCTCCCTCATGAAGGCAACGCAGAACTTGCGGATCTCGTTGTCAGACTTGCCCTTGGGGTCGAAGTCGCATCCTCCCTTGCCACCGCCCATGTTGACTGTGGTGTATTAGCTTGTTGTTTGTATGCGCTCGAGTCCGGTGTGACGTACGGCCGGTAAGAGCATTCTTGAAGATCTGCTCAAAACCCAAGAACTTGAGAATGGAAAGGTTGACGGTAGGGTGGAAGCGGAGACCGCCCTTGTAGGGACCGAGAGCAGAGTTGAATTGCACGCGGTATCCCTTCTGGACCTGGCACTCGCCCTTGTCGTTCTCCCAGACAACGCGGAACTGGATGATGCGCTCAGGGACGGAGACGACCTCGAGGGCCTTCTTGTATTCGGGGTTCTTGGAGAAAAGGGAGGAGGCCTCGAGGGTGGAGACGAGCTCTGTGAGGTGTTAGATATGTTGCAGACGTGGAGGCGCAAACGTACCCTTCCTGGCTTGCTCAAACTCGGGCTCAGACATTGTGATGTTGGGTATCTTGGGGACTGAAAGAAGATGTGAGGTGATGGAAATTGACACAGTCAAGAGTCACAAGTTGATGGAGAGAAGAGGCAGGAGAGAGTGTCTGGTATATATAATTGCAGTCGGCGCAAGCTAGATAGTTCGCTGGGCCTGCGGTGACGGTGCGGAACAAAGTCGCACTCGATTTGAGTACGTCAGAGGCCGGGAGATTGGGGTGCTGGACCCGTCTCAGTGGTCAATGGGGTCTACTGCACGCCATGTTGATGCAAACCATGGTGTGCACTTTTTCTACTGATAAGGATCTGGCCAATGGGCGGGCGAGGACAAGTATCGCGGGGTGGTTGCACGTGAAGTAGCGGGGGCTCCGGCCACTCGAGGCTCGTGGCGGGCGGTAATAGTCGAGAGTCAAACCATGGGAGGCGACGCGATGCCGACGTCGGCGGGCGCGCGAGGGAGTCTTGTTACGTTGGGCTTTCGCCTAGTGGCGTGTCAGGGTAAAGAGAACGGGCAGGGAGAGTGGGAGAAGCCGGAATGTGGGCGTGAGCTTGGGCCACACAGGGTTGTCTTGGCGAAGCGGCCGCTGGCGACCTCCTGCTGCGGAGACGCCGGACATCCTCACCTTTGTATGCGACGTCGTCCCACAAGCTTAAAACCTATGCGATATGGAAATAGCTTCTCTGCGACATTGCACTGCCTCAATCTCTACCGTCGCGTCCTCCGTCATGCGCATATGCGCGCATTGCAGTCATTGAGCTGCAAGATCATGACTTGAGACTCGATGGCGGCGTCACAATATCGACATAGTCATGCATCGGAATAGGCATAGATGAGTATGCTTCATTTCTACATTTGGTGGCATGTGAAAGAGATCGATTTCCCACCCTCCACGCGCTGACCCCCACGCCCGACATCTCTGCCTCCACACTGAGCACACTCACGGGCAATCGGTAGGGTCCCAATCTGGAGAAAAATTGCACGTCAGTAAAAGCAGCGGGATGAGAGTATTGATATGGCTGCGTATGCCAGGCACCCAAAGGAACTCACCGGTCACTAGGTATTCGTCCAACGCATCCATTGCCTCCATGTCGCCATCCTCGATTACGAAGCCTCCAATCTCTGAGTTCTCGACGATTCGCTCCTTCTTCACACTCTTGGGTAGTGGCACATAGCCGTGTTGCAGACTCCAGCGGACCAAGAGCTGGCCCGGAGTGCACGAATATTTCTTGGACAGGGCCACAATCTTCGGATGCGTCATGCGCAAGGCTCGGGCCAGCGGCGCGTATGCCTCTACGACAATGTTGTGCTGCTGGCAAAAGGAAGTAATGTCCTTCCGCCTAGTGTACAAAGTTAGCATAGTTACGCATGCAATGCAGTCCCTTCGGGGAACTCACGTATTGAACGGGTGAACTTCGATCTGGTTAACCGCTGGAGGAATCCGGGGGTTGGAGTCCAGTAGCTCTTGCAACTAGCATATCGTCAGTGATTGACCTCGGCGACGTTGAATGTTCGGTGACGCTCATGACTATACTGAAGAGTCCAATGAGGGCGACTACAACGACTTTCCTATCCTGGGTGTATGTTCGCACTAGAGACTGAATACGGGCCTTCCCGAGACAACTAAAGCAAAATGACGGGAACCAGGGTCTACTTACATGTTTGACACCATAATTGGAGACGCCTCCAATCTTGACTTCGCCGTCGTTGATTGCGTCTTCCACCGCTCGCCAGCTGTCGAGACGCGCCTGCTTGCCGCCATATGGGGAGTGCAACAGAAATAGGTCAATGTAGCCAAGACCCGCCTCCTTGACAGATCTCTTGATGGCTTTGCGGGCCGTTTCGTATGCGGAGTTGGACGCTAGCTTCGACGTGAAGTGGATGTCTTCGCGCCTGAGCGACTCGGTGTTTGCATCACTTGCGAGAAAGTCAGAGATGGCTTTGCCAGACTCCTTCTCGTTATGGTACATCTGAGCTGAATCGACTCTGTGTACGCGTCATCCGTCAGCCGTGTGAAAGCTTGGTCTCGTGATGCTACTCACGCTCGATAGCCAGCCTGCCGTGGTGAGCATTATGGTTACTGATCATCAGGAACGGCAAAAGCATACCTCGAGCGCCCACCGGACGGCTTGATAAGTCTCCTTCCCGGACGTCAGATAGACGCCGAGATGAATCGTTGGCATGGACAGGCCATTGGAAAGCTGCCACTGTCAGACACGGGCGGCGTCTAGTACGGTCTCGTCGACGCACCTTGGTCCGCGACGCCAATGAGAAGGAAGATTGTGCCATGTTCACTGCTGGGGGCTATGTTGTGCATACACGAAAGTAGATGTGCGATGCTGCAAGAGGCAAGCCACGATGGCAGCAGAGTTAAATGGAGTTCCTCGGCGAACTGGTTACATCATGGCCCGTCACGACCGGGGGGTGAACTCTATTGTGGAGGCCTCATCGTGACGACTCTGTCACGACTCTGACATGTCATGGCTGCGCAGCGTCCCTGATCTGTTGCAGTTGGAGTAAGAATGCGTTGCACGCACAAAAGCAAAACGGGCCATATGCGCCCGCAGGCTATAGGCTTCACCAAGCCGTGGACTGCATCGTGCGGACGGTGCCTGCCGATTGGGGCGCCTGCCCCCACCTCCCGAGGTCCTCAACCTCAGCACCGTGCGCCTAGGACCCGACCATCCAGTGCCCTGTCGTACAGTGTCTCGTTAGCCACGTAGGACAGCCTCACCGAGGGCGTGCGGGCTTGGATGATCGGCGAGGAACTATTCTTCTTCGGCGGGATGCGCTCGTGAAGTTGGAGGGAACAGGCAGCGCATTGGTGGGCGCCCTGGTATTGTGGCTCTCCGGACACACGAACATCCGTTTTACATGCCATGGCAGTGGATCCCCTACCGCGATTGACGAGATCTATCGCCCGGGCGTTTGGAGGCGCCTGTCACTCTAGTCATTCTAGCCAGAGTCAAGCATGACAAAAACAACCCGGCGCGCTCAGAAGGGCTGATTCGCAAAGCCGGCTCGATGCGCCTGCATCTCGGCCGCTCCGTCGGTCTCTGCCACTGTCTTGGAGACCAAACGGCCATCATCGCGCAGCAACATGTACAAGGAACAGCAAAAAGGGGGGCAGCGGTCGGCTGAAGCGCACGCAAGCAGCCAACGGCAGCGCAGGTAGCGCAGTCTTGACGACACTTGGTTTACTACAGAGTTTTTGAATAGACCGCCTCGGGAGCCGTCGTCCTGGCCGCCGACCCGCGAACTGCGCAGCCACCATCGCCGGCTCCACCAGGCCCTATGCCGTCGCTGATTGGCCCGACTCGCTGAACTTACTGGTCAATGATCAAGGGAGCCGGAGTGGCTCGACTTGATCATCGCCAGGATTATTCCAAAATCGCAGCCATCTCACGGAGGCTTCAATAATTCCTCGCAAGGTTAGCAGGGCGGCGTCGACCGAAGCCACTCCATATAAGCAACTTCTCAAGCCTCAGCATCCGTATACTCAACCTCCCCATGTATAAAGCATCTTATCGCGCCCGCTATCCATGCTACCAGAACACCAAGCAACAGACACTGCAGCAGCCTTGAACTAGCCGCCCACTCGGTCGTTTCGTCATTGATCCTGTTCCTCGTCTCATCCTGCCTGAACCCTGAGACCCTGGCTCCCTTGGGCTGCTGTTAGCCAGACCCGACATTCTGCACCGGCACGTTTATTTGACAGTGGTTGCACCCAGCTCGGTAAGTTGCGAGCTGCGAGTACACAAACTGGTGTTCTCCTCCAGCCAACCAACCAGCTGTGCTGACTTTTGCCGTTCCTGCAGTAGCTTGCGCTGCCCTCACCATGACAAGTTTACCCGGCTTCACCACAAACTTCCCCGCGGGATACCCGACCTTCCAAACTCGCGGTGGAACTTTTGCGCGCGGCAGCACCTCCTCAGGAGGCTCGCCATCTGTGCCAACCGCCTCGTCTGAGCCGCACTTCGACATCTTCGACTGGCATCCTGCATACCAAAGCTGCCAGCGCTATTTCCTCGACCATGCGCAGCACGACAACGGCGTGCAGGCAGTATGCGCCCTCATCAACATCTGCCTGCCTTTCCAATGGACGCAGACTCCCCTCATGAACGCCTCAGGACCGCTGCCTCACTCGTCGGGCGCTGCTGCATACAACATGCCCTGGCCCCGCCAAGGTCCCGTCACCAATTCGCGAGGCCAGCCGGCGCCGGCATGGGTCTCCCTTGTGCCCTTCATTCGACGTCTTGTCATCACAGGAATGGACAGTCCAGGCATCATGCACGGCTTCTTTGGCGAGGACTGGAGGAAGGGAGTCGGCCCAATGCACGAGTGTGAGCGTCGCAACTACCTTTTCGCAGCCAAGAGCGTGGGTTGGGCAAAGGTCAAGTGCCAGTACGACATGTCACCGCACGAGTCAGTGCCTTTCCTGAAGCCATTGCAGGAGGTCCAGCTGGCCGAGATCGAGGGGGCCGAAAAGACGTGGAGTCAGTGGCTCGCCATGGAGGACTGGATGGTGGGCCCACGGGCACCGGATGCGGACGACCAGCTACAGGACGCCCGTCGCCGTCCATCTTGAAGCTTGGCGTGGAGTATGGCGTTGTCTAGTGCACGGTGGTCGTCAGCATCACGACCGTAATTTGCGTCGCACCAAGACGTGTGTGGATTTATTTGGGTTGGCGAGGGCTGGGGTTAGCGGTCAGTCTTCAGCGATCAGCACTTCGCGCCATCGCTGCGCAATGGTTGTACATGTCCCACGACATGGGCGAGAACGCTTCTATCATCCGGTAGTAATGTAACTATTTCAATACCATCAATGTTACGCATTGAACTTGACGGCTTGTGCTCCCCGCACCATCATCTCTCTACCTTTGATTTTAGACACGAAATTCCGACCATAAAATATAAATTGGAGAGCTTGGCGTGGAATTCCTTTTGCTGACCAGACGCGTTGGAAGGTTCGCGGATTCTGTGCGCTGTCCGCATCCATGGATCGTGCCTGCCAAGGAACATCGGCCAACCTCAGCTAAGCACGACCACCTTTGTTCCTCGCCGGACCACATCCTATATTCTTTTTCTTGTCAACTACCAGCCCAACGTCCAGGGCGCATTTTTACTACATGGGCTATGGAGTCCATGGTCAAGGAATGGACGACTTTCTTGGACAGGTGCCTCGAGCGCCGCGTCCAGCCTGACCTGTTCGCTGCAGCCGTCGCGCAGCTGCACGCAAAGTCTCCACTGCCTGGCCGGAAGCTTGCTGCCCTTGTACTTCGACCACGCGTTGCAGGATCCAGCAATGTCGACCCGCGCTCCATCGTCTTCCTCGAGCAGCTACTAGCGCTGAAGAAGGTCGATGCTTCTGATGTTCTAACGCTGACGTTCTTGTACTCCAAGGACCGGCTTCCGGTCAAGACAGGCGACGAGAAACCGACCAAGGAGCCGCAATGGGACAATCCACCAGAACTCGAGGAAATTGTCTTCCACCGCTTGCACAAGGCTTTTGCTGCCGAAGAACGGCCTATCAACAATACCGAAGGCTTGCGCACGCTTATTGTTGTAACAAGATGGATGCAGGCGATGGTCACTTCACATACCAGTGATACCATGATCCAGGCAATGGCTGGTATCCAACAACCACAACAACACTCTATCAATGTCCGGGAAGGGCTTGCTATGCTTGTGATTGGCATAATAGAAAACCCAAGAATTCTGCGGATACTGAACAATCCCAAGGGGAAAGGTAAGCGCACCTCTAATTATTCTGATGTTTGTACGATGTTTTCGAACGGGTTTGCTCAAGACTTAAGAAGTACATTACTCACATGGATTAGACATACGCAAACATTTTATCCAGTCATTTTCTTCATTTATCCCATTTCTCTCCAACAACTCGGGCGGATCGCATCAGTCGTTGCAACTAGCTGAAAGACTTGAGCTCTCGCAAAAACGACACGACTTTTATGAGAAGCTTCCCAACATGAACGGAGAGGGAAACAGGAGCGCCGGTCTCGAAGTCGCTGCACTCCAGCTCGATGCCGTGATGGAGCTTCCACAGGTGAATACACGAGCCGGTCTCTACGTATTTTTGAACGCCTTGGTACGTCTTTCAGCTGACGATGTGGCACGTTGCTAACATTCCAAGCTTGTCGCGCGGCCTCTTACTGATGATTTCATCATTATCAATTATCTCCATTCGCGATACAAGGTAGGCCAGAATCATTTGATCGCGAAGAAATGCTGATCTTCGTCAGTTGGAAGCACAAAACATGGCCACGGATTTGATCACCGCCGCTTTCGATGTCCTAGCCAACGCCATGTATCGCAGTGAACCAACGCAGACAATGTTTCCCCTGAAATCATTCCTGATCAACAAAGTACCCTTGCTCCTCGTACAAATCTCCGGGTCGATATTTCCGATGACAACAGAAATGTGCATCACCCAAGCACTCAGTCACGTGGATCCCCATGCTTTCCCGTCTTTCTCGCAGGGGTTTGACGATATCATGGGAAGTAACAACTCTCTCTCTGATGTCAAGCAAGACTTCCTTAATGCCTGCGCACTCCATGGGCTCATTCCGGCTGGGGCTGTAGAGCGATTGCTTGGCGAAGCTCCTATGCAAGGTCCTCCATCGAAGAGATACGAGAGGAAAGAGTTACTAAGCCAGTGCAAGTCGAACTTCGATAAAGTCAGCACGTACATTGACGAGCTTGAGAGCCTGGATGGAAATGCCGGGGCCATCGTCGCTGCTGTGACAGATGTAAGACATGATGAAAAGAACTGCGAGAGGGACCTGCTGATGTGATGATAGTTCATAGCACATCTCTGCGAAACACAAACGACCATGTATTTGAAGCAACTGTCCTCGTTGACATTCAGGAAACCGCAGGCAATGGATGTGATGCTTCAATTCACTTCGCCGGCAAGCATCCTGCGGCCACTATGCCAATTCCTCGATGAGTGGCATTACGACAGTGATCAAGGTTAGCTTCATTAAATTTTGCAAAGATTCGTGGCTGACGAATGTAGGCGAATACCAACCGGTCTACGACGAGTTTGGCGCAATACTTGTCCTCGTTATGGCCTTCGTATATCGCTATGATCTTACATATCACGACATTGGCATCCGACATGATACATTTATCGCCAAGCTTATGAAACGCGGCCACCATAGCATGCTCCCCGACGAATTGAGCGAAGAACAGGGCAAGCATCTCGGAAACTGGCTCAAAGGGCTCTATGATGCCGACAAGGAAGGGTTGAGCAATGATGTGTTTGCATCCTGTCGGCCACAGGATTTCTATCTTATAGTTCCGACCCTTTTCAGGCAGACTGTCGTGGCATGCTCGACAGGCGTACTGTCATTTGAGTCGGTCAAAGGTGGCTTGGAATGTAAGCTTACCCCAATTTTCTCGTCCAGTTAAACCACACTGACTCGATTTCAGATCTCGGAGAGACTTTCCTGTTACCGTCTTTGATTGAAGGTCTCACGTGGATGGCCAACTACGCGCTTCTTCAAACACACAAGGACCTCGACTCAATGATACGCATTTTCAATGAAATCATACTGACGACTCCTTCTTCTGGCGATGCACAAGCTATGCACTCGACTATAATAGCGATGGTGGCTAGTCGTCTGGAGAAATGCTTCCGCACGCTACAGCGGCGCGAGCCAAATCGCACGACACTTGAGCCTTTCATCCAGGCAATCAAAGTGCATGCACACTACGAACGATCCATATACGCTAGCTTGAAGGAAGTGGACCAGTGGACGAATGCGCCGAACAGCACTTTGAACACGTCTTTACGGCATACAATACAACAACTATGTCAATGGGCTTCGACTTCTTCGTTACAGCCAAACCCACCTGGCTATACACATCGCCAAATCTATGCATCGCTGAAGATGCTTGGTGCCACCAGAACGCTACGCGCAATCATAGATGAGGTAAAAGCGCAGACAGATGCTGGCAACGGAGCCGCTGCGCTCGACATTGGCGTGTCTATCATCTGCGCCCCGACCGTTGAAGACAGTCCGATCACGATAGACTGGATGGGAAGCTCGATACCAGCGCCGCCTCAACAACGAACCCGCATGAATCTCCGCGAGATGCTCAAGCAGGAATTCGAGAGCGCAGCCAATCTGGTCGCGACAGATCCTCTGACTGCAGAGACGATAGTGCGTCTGCACCGCCGAGTAGAAGCGCACTTTGCCTCCCTTAGCGAAGCTGGACTCCAAGCACCACCCATCAACATACCGAGCGTCAACATCGGGGACATGCAATCGCAAACTATATCCGATGACCTGAACCGAGCTATCGACGACGCAGCAGCCGCGACGGTGGTAGACGACATTTCCAACATGGATAACAAAGCGCTGCAACGCAGTATGGACGAACTTACTGGTGCCGAAGGCTTGGACCTGTCGAACATCGGCATGGGCAATGGCGATGCAGGCGCAGGCGATATGAGCACAGACTTGGGCAGCTTGCCTGGTATGGATCTGGGTGACATGGGTAGTATGGGCATGGATATGGACATGGACATGAACATGGATATGGGTGGTGGCGGAGGAGATGACGACTGGGGTCTGGATTTCGATAACATGTAGAGTGTGTTTGAGGAGGCTTCTTCTTCATGGAATTCATACCTAGGCACGTAGACTATTCATCCAAAGGCAATGCTTGGGATAAGCGCTTAGGATGGGTTGGAGGGGAACGGTTGGTTATGAGGGTTATTTACTATCGCATCTTACGGCGTCCTGCAATCGAGTACAATACAAGCGGAGCAAACATCAGCCCGCTACATGCCATGTAAATGATGTATGACTGTACCGAGGTAACCCTACTAACCCCAAACCGGCAAGAAGTACGATGGATAGAACCGGGGGGCGGGGGTGGTCCTCACCTGCATAAACTCCGGAATCCATTGCCCCACCATGTTTCCCGACGGTGACGACGGTCCGACAGTCAGCTTGTAAACAACACACGAATAAACTCTCGTTACTCTATCCCAAGCCTTTCCTGCTGAAAGCTTATCTTCTCTGCCTTGCTCCAGATCTACAACAGGAACCACATTAATCGCATTCTACATCTCCACCAGGCCTACCCAACGCACACAGAGCAGGCAGCAAAGCAGCAAACATGCCATACGACCTCAAAGGCAGGAATGTACTTATTACCGGTGGATCGGCGTACGTACATTACATCTTTCCTGAACGCCTTCCTCCATACAGCTCATCTCTTACTAACACTTCTCATTCAGCGGCCTCGGCGAACTCCTCAGCACGACGTTTGCGAGTGAAGGCGCCAATGTGGCGATTAACTACTTCAACCGGATTGAGCCGGCGCAGAAGGTGCAGAAGGCGTGTCAGGAGCATGGGGTCAAGGCTGTTGTTATCAAAGCGGTGAGTCTACTTGTTTACCTAGATAGGGGTGGTGTCAGGGGACTGGTGGATTGGGTTGGAAGTTGGGAATTGGGAATAAAAGTTGGGGAGTGGGTAGGAAAGAGGAAGATGGGCTAATGTGAGATAGGATATGACGTCGACGGATGAGGCGAGGAGAGCTATTAAGGAGACGATTGAACAGCTGGGAGGGCTGGATATTATCATCGCCAACGCAGGCTGGACACGCTTCTCCGAGTGGAAAGATCTCGACTCCATGAGCGAAGAAGAATGGGATAAGTGCTGGAGTGCAAACGTCAAGGTCCCCAAGGCACTGCTGTCTGAGGCGAGGAGTACGTTCGACGCAAATCCAGATGGTGGACTGATGATCACTACGGGCAGTATTGCGGTATGTTCTCAATTTCTCTTATCTTGACACAACTACGGACTATGGGTTTAATGATCGAGTACTGATACCGAATCACAGGGTGTCAGCCAAGGCGGCTCCAGCATGCCATACGCCGTCACCAAAGCAGCCCAATTCCAACTCGTCAAATGCCTTGCCGCCACCGTCGGGCCCAAGATTCGCGTCAATACCGTTCTCCCAGGCTTACTGTTGACCGAATGGGTAAGGATGCAGAAGCTATACTGTCTTCTTATGCTGACAGTCACGCAGGGCCTCAAGTATAGCGAAGAGAAGATCGAGCAGCTCAAGAATGCTGCAGCGCTGAAGCAGGTCACTCGCATGGATGACTGTGCTTCGGCGTATGTCATGTTGGCGAAGAACACTAGCATGACTGGTATGCGCATTCAGGTTGACGCTGGACTCAACATCCAGGGCGCGTAAGGATGCTATGGAAGTGTCCACTATCAAGGATTTCCTTCGGTCTAGCAATGAATTTAATAATTTCATGGCCTGTAAACATGTCACTCACTGCCTCGGTGACGATTGGTCGCGGAAAAGCAAGACCTCGGCCGTGGGTGGAAGGGTAACCCCACGGCGCTAATTCAAGCTGCAGGGCACCTCACGTCAATTCCCCGCGCCCGAACCTCCGCATCTCCGCAGAGCTTCTGGAAATCAACACCATGACTCCCCAAACTTCATAGCCAGAAACACGCCATGTCTGCTTCTTTTAGTACCGTTTCTAGAGCAGCTCCGCGTCTTCCGCGACGGTGTATGCGATGCGGCGAGCGGAGCGCCAATTGTCAGCCTGCACGGCGGCGCTGGATGAGCAGCGTGCGAGATGCGCCCGCTACGAGACCCAAGACTGCTATCTTCTTCCCTGGTACTTCTTTCTGGCGATCAGATACTCAGATACTACAGCATGCTAAAAAATATCAGGCCAAGGCGTACAACGCGTGGGAATGTGCACACCATGGCTGCAAGCCTTCCCCAAGACCGCGAAACCCATCCTCGAGGAGATTGACGAGACCCTTCAACTCCCCCTTACGAAGACAATCGAGTCCGGCACGAATGCCGAGCTTACACGAACCGAGAACGCGCAACCGGCCATTATGGCAACCTCGATCCTGATACTGCGGATACTGGAGAAGGAGTTTGGCTTCAAGACCAGCGAGCGCGTCGACATCACACTGGGCCATTCGCTCGGCGAATTCGCAGCTTTAGTAGCAGGCGGCTACCTCACCTTCCACGACGCCCTAAAGATGGTCCGGCGCCGAGCCGAAGTAATGAGCAAATGCAGCCAAGAAGCCGTCGCAGAAGAAGGCGGCGAGTTCGGCATGGTGGCCCTCGTCTGCGAATCCGAAGAGCACATGCAGTCCCTCATCAACGGCATCCACGAGTTCCTCGCCCTAGGCTCCAAAGCCGATTCCCACGACCACCTCCCCGCCGTCCAGCAAGTCGCCATTGCAAACCTCAATTCGAAGAACCAGATTGTTCTGAGTGGCAGTATAACACGCATCAGCACGCTCCTTACCAACCTGCGCCAATTCGGCGGCCACGACCCGAGACATGTACGACTTAAATCCGACGCTCCCTTCCATAGCCTCCTCATGAAACCCGCGGCCGAGACCATGAAACGCATCCTGCACAAACCCACCGAAGATGGCCGCGATATCATAACATGGCCCGGCATCATGCCCTGCATCTCAAACGTGTCCGGTAAACCCTTCCAGGATAAAGAGCAGTTGAAAGACTTGCTAGCGCGGAGTTGTGTGGAGACGGTGCAGTGGTGGAAGAGCGTTAAGTATCTTCATGAACAAGAGAAGATTATGCGGTATGTGGGTATTGGACCGGGGAAGGTGGGCAGGAATCTGGTGGGGAAGGAGGTGGGTATGAAGGGAGCTGTTAAGGGCGGTGGGGTTTGGGGGATTACGAGTCCGAAGGAGATGGAGGAGGTGGTTAGGGCGTTGGATGATACGGAGGATGTGGATGGGATTGAGGTGGAGTGATTAGTGGAGGTCGGGTGGTTGAAGCTTATTTCGCTTTTGAAGACGATTATACGAGGGAGGGCGATGAAGAAGGGAATTCTTGAGGTTAAAAGCGTACAGATATACCCCAGTGTAGCGACTTTAGTTTTAATGAAATGTGTTCGTCAAGGTGCGTTTTTCGTTTAGTCCCTGATCTGCCAAGGCATGTCTTGCTGAGTATGCCCTTCGTCGCTCCTTCCTCCACTGATCACTCACGTTCAGAACATCCTCTCCCAGCCACGACACTGCAACCTCGTACCACACGCATGGACACGCACAATGTTGGCATTGCAGGAACGATCGAGCCCACATTCTGAAGAGCCAGACAGCGGGGTTAGACGCGACAACGAAAAATGTCACATATGGCTTTTGCATACTTTGTGCAACCACAAAGCTATCGCAACCACAACGTATACCAAAGTACGATCTCGATGACCAGCCCGAACAAAGACCGGACCAGGTTTTAGTCAGAGGCGCACTCTATTCGCGTTGATCACTTCCGCAAGATCAGGCCACGCGATATCAATAACAGACACGATGCCGAACATCTCTCTCACGATGGCGAAAGCAATGGTTGAGAGGGGTTGTAGCTAATCGGGCCGCTCAGCATTGCCGATTTACGCGTTGTGTCAGATCCGGAGATCCCTGGTCGCGTCCATCAACACCTTCTCTGCAACCTCAGAGTTTAGCGCGACGCTAGTTGGTGTGATTAGGACTGTATCAGCCCGACCATCTTTCTTCTGGAAACATGAATATCCTCCTCACACTGCCCAGTGTATCTGTCGATTCATTGGCACTTTCAGCACTACCTTCGCCGCATCCTCCGGTAATTCCCAGCCAACATGCTACCCGATAACATCTACAACAGCTATCTCGAATACAAAAAAGACACCAATACGTACATCAACTGGCTCTGCAGCACTGCAACACGTTTAGGCTTTCCGCCGCCCTACAAGTCATCGTTGGAATCAAAGGCATCAAAATCACAGGCCCGGAAAAAGAAGAAGCTAGAAGAGCGAGAAGTCAGTATTAGCGGACTAATTGCATGTGCGGAGGCAATCGCCGAGAAACCGCCCAAGCAATTCGTCGTTCCTGTATACGCTGCTCAGTGCGCGGCACGGGCCATCAGACAACGGAAGAAGTCGTCGCAATGGCATGAGAGTCAGGTCGATGGGTTGGATGGAATTGAGAAGGTAGTGAAAGAAGAAGACAACGCCGGTCATACTTTCTTCACGGAGACGCTGGAGCATACGCTCAATATCTTACGACCGTTTATATGCAACGCGCAACACGTCAAAAAGGCTGGTGACAAGGCTCAACGACATGATTCTATGGATGATATTACCAATCGCTTCAGTAAGCTTGAGATTGAGGAGTTGGCTGATCAGGAAGTCGAGAGTGCTGCGATTGCGGTCGCCGAGAAACCGCCAACAACGTCACGGATCACATACTTTGTCGATAACAGCGAGGAAGAGCGTCAAGTCGCTATGGAATCCCTTCTACATGATCACTTACGCATCAAACAGGCCATCCACAAGGCATGGCAAGACTATTTGGTAAACAGAAACCTTGACCTCATCACGACCGCGGCAACGACTCAAGCCGGGTTGCAGATGCTCCGGAGTCTCGTTCACGAGTTTACGATGCAGTTCCCCGGACTTAACTCGATGGAGACATTCTGCTTGAACTATCTTTGCAAACGCAAAGACATCCGATCAGGTTCCGACGAAGCTATTCCGGTAGATACGAGCGACGCGGATATCCAGATTCCAAAACACGTGGCCGAATTCAGCTGTCTAGACACTTATACCACTATCCGGGATGCGTTGAGCCGTTTCTTCCAGGCTGAAAACTACGCCGGTCGATACCGAGCAATGGAGTATGTGCTTCGAATCGGCTATTTTGACAACTACAAAACGTACATGCCTGCCCTTCAACCACTGGTCAACGCCCTGGAAGACATCTTAGGCATGGACGTCGAGGGAATGGGCAGCTTCCAAGATCCTCCCATTATGGACAACTTCACTCAACTCTGGCGAGAGTATCTCCAGACTTTATACTCTGCTCCCAAACCGGAGGGACAAAAAAAGAGGGAACTTCCTGATCTGAGCGTGGAACTGGTCCTCTGTACGGATCTATACCTGAAGGTACAAGAGGTCGTCATACTTGCCGAGCCAAACATCATAAGAGACGACTACAAGAATAACTGGGCATACAAGAATTACTATCAGAATGACAGCGACTCTGGTCATTACCTGGAATTGTTAAAACAATACCCATTCACATCAAATCCAATCCGCAAAACGCTCACCTCTTTCTTCCGAAGCGATGTAGACACAGCAAAGATTGTAGACTGGCATACCACGGAAATGTTTTGGGGTCGACGCGCCATGATGAAAGAAAAGATAACAGGTCTCAGGATAAGTGGAAGAGAAGAATGCGTCCTTGGAGTCTTTCGTTGGGATTGGCCACGATATAACCCGTTTCTAGCTGGCCTAATAGCCTTTGTCGTCGCCCAAGCTGTTGATGAGTTGAATACGGTATTCCAGAACCACAGCGGCAGCCCGGTCGCGACGGCACATCTCTATAACTACCTACGACAGGCTCACAGCGTGACAGCCCCATCCCCTTGCACTCCTGTGTTGGCAAAGGAGTGGCCAGATATGGAAACCTATCTCAAGATCATGGGCGACAAGAGTGTGTTCGGTGGCGATCGACCGTGGACTCTGCGACATTGTTTGCAACGTATATTTCTGGCACACGGTCGCTCTCTTTCTAGCCTCGCTCGCAATGCACACAGCGCCAACGACTGGGTAGTCAAAACCAAGACCAGACTGCAAAGCCATAACACGCCCATCATAGATGCTCTTTGTGAAGGGGGAACGCAGCGACGAAACTTTCTCAACATCACGAACAAAACCATACAAGAGGTCGTTCAGCGTGAGGCAACTCGCCGCGCAACCACCTCTACAGGACAAAATCTATTTCCCATCAAAACTCTAACCGGATATCTCACAGCCTTTCGCCGCACTCTGCAGTACGAAATACCGCGAATGCATTTCATGCACTCTATACTTGCCATAGTGGCTCACTGGCTTCACATTCAGCTGAAAGGCCCTTTGAGAGCTATCTCGGAAGAAAATGACAATGGCTACATACCGCCCACGTGGGACAATGATGACACTATACCATTACACATTATCTGGCACGAGAGTCGCTATCGAGAGAGAACCAGTAGCTTGAACTACGAAACGAGAAAAGTGGACTCGCAGTTTACGTACAAGGCGGCGAATGTTATAAGAGAATGGTTGGATAGCCAGTCAAGAGCATCACCATCTAGTTCTCTTGCTACGAGAAAGTTTGAGGAGATGGTAAAGTACGTATATCTAACCATCAATCATTGCATGTACGCAAAAAGACTAAGCTAGTTACTAATCATCACAATTAGGGAATTCCACTGCATAAACCCCCTCGACAAAGAGCAAGAGGAGTTTCACGCTCAACACTGGGTCAAGTGGGTACTCGCCGATGAAGAAGCAGTGCAGAAGTCTGCAGATGAGGTTCTACGCCGAGAAGGCATAATGGAATTGCGCCTGCCACCTTCGTTCCGTGGCCTCATCGCCAGTCCCTCAGCAGCAGAAAGCTCGCCAAACCTACCAGACGAAGAAACCAACATGCAAAACCAGCAGAAGGAGATTTCTACAGCCGATGCAGACAAAGCTGCCCTCGAAGGAATACTCCGGCTTTTGCGCCAGGCTAAAGCGGACAACGATCAGATGAAGACGCCGGAGTTGGTACAGGAAGCTTTTGTCAGGCTGGCGGCGCTGGGAGGGGATCATGTATTGCCCCCGGAGGATCATCAGGAGATTGTCAAGGCTGCTGAGGAATTCATGGGGAAGGGGGTGGGTAAAGATGGGAAGGGCCGTGTTTACTATGTTTGTGTTGGGCGGGCTGCGAAACAGCCTTAGAAGGTAGAACGCTAGCATAGATGTACAATGACGACGAGGGAAACGTGCCCGCAGTTAAATGAAGAGTATTTCATAAAGTCCGGACGTAGTGCCAGTCGCTGGTCGTTGTACAAAGGGGTTCCGAAATCCCAGGTTTGTGTCACACAGTACGCGTGGGAAACACATACCATGACAAGACGCTGATAGTATACAAAACGAAGCCCATTCGCCCAAATTGCTCCTTGTGGTATATTCTTTGCATCACCATGATTCCAACTCCCCATACACACCCATATTAAAGGGCAAAATGGTATTTGAGTAAAAATGATGATTTGATCGAATCTGGGGTATGGCCCAATCTATATACCCGTCAACCCAACACCAGCACGGTCACGTAATCTCTTACCCCAACACCTCCCATCTACCTATTCAAGCTCAACAACTCCTCCACATACCTCCTCGCATCAATCCCAATCCCCTCCGCCAACCCCTTAGGCCCCCACCCCGCCGCACTCCCACCCATCCTCTCATTCCGCGACGTACTCCCACCTCCCATACCAAGCCCACTCCACATGCCACTCGCAAAGCTACTCGAACTCTTCGCACTATGCGCCGTCGTATCCCGCGCCCTCCTCACCAGAAACGCTTCGCGCAGCTCGTTGGAATTGAATTGGCCGGAGCCATGCCCCGAACCGGCGTTTTCATTCGAAGCATTGTTCTGCGCGGTGTCTTCGTTGCTTACTTGCGAGGGGGGCAGACGCATCCAGACGACCCACCAGCCACGCGAGGTTTTGCACGTGCGTTCTATTTCAGAGAGGTTGCGGCGCGTACCCGCTACCGTGGCGAGGATCTGAGAATGTACGTTCAGGGCTTCGATTCTGCTCCAGCCGAGGGAGCTCGTGCTGTTGCTGCCTAGGCCTTCGGCGAGGAGGGTGCCTGGGTCGGGGATGTTGGGGAGGCTGGAATGCACGGTGTAGGTGCGGGGGTCGTAGACGAGGTCGTAGATGGTTTGTGTGTTGGGGCCGGAGGAGGGGCCTGAGCCGCCGGTTGAGGCTTCTGTTGTGTAGTGGTTTGAGACGGCGTGGAGACGCGCCGCGACGAGAGATGGGGAGGTGCTTTTGTCGAGGGAGCGGTGGAGGGGCGAGAAGAAGTTGTGGATGTCGCGGTAGAAGGATGCGACGCCGAGGGAGTGGGTGCGGTGTTCGAAGAGGAAGGTGTAGACGAAGGGTCGGTGCTGGGGTGGGTGTTAGTAGGGTAGAGGAGTCTGGAAGTGATGCGTGGACTTACAACGTAGACAACAGGCCGTAACCGTGACAGTTTGTTCTCTATTGTCGGCTCCACCTTCATGTCTCTCTCGTACTGCGGAGTCGAGTCCGAGTCGCCATCTTCTGTTTTCAGTGAAGCTTCTCGCCTGTCGACCTCCACGTGTATAGTCCGTAGCGGTATACGGATATTCCAGTCGCCCTCCCCGTTCTCGTCGTCGATGTCTAGGTCCTGCAGATCGCCTTTGAGTCCTACAAGGAAATACCCGTCGTTCTCTAGACGTATCTGCTGCTTCATTTTCTCCTCTGCTGGGTCCACATCAGGTGTAGGGTCTATGTAACGCATCGCTGCTGGTGAAGGGGTGCGTTCCCGTGCCGGTGGTGGCCGTGCCGGCGTTGGAGCAGTAGATTCCGAAGATTCAGCACTCTTCTTTCCACCACCCCATGCTGTCCCATAGCCAAGTGTCATGTACTTCATCCATGTCTCGGTGTCACCCAGAGACGCTAGCATTGGCTTGGACTCAGGTGCAGTAGAGTCGACTTGGGACTTGTTGTTTTGGACGTTGGCGGAGGCCTTATCGAGAGAGTTCTCGGCTGCTTTGACGATAGGCGGAGGGATGCCCGGTGGTAGGGAGCCGTTGCTCGACGGAGGAAAACGCGGCCTTTCTTCTTGTATTGGAGGCGACGGCTCTTCTGGTTCTGGTTCGGGCTTCAGATTTCTCCTTCGCCGTTTCCTGCGATCAGATGTTGGATTATCTCGTACACCGTAAGCATACTCGCCGTGAGCGTAGATAGTCTCTACCCAGTGAGACAAGTCTCGTAATGACTTCCTGCTCACAGCTCCCAGACCCGAAAAGACAACGCCATCTGCGGCATGGACGTTCTTTCCGACTCCTATCCAGGGTTCCAGCTCTGACACTTCGAGTGTCTTCGGGTCTGTGGATGTCTTGGCTTGTTGTAGAGGTGATGCTTCGCCAAAGCGGGACATCATGACATCGACGAGACCTGAGGTTCTGCGTGCGAAGTCTTCCAGCACGTCTCGTTCGCTGCTTCCCCACTCCTCCTCGCCAACACCCATACCCAGCTCGCCACCTGCTGCCAGCTTCATACCACCATATATGTCCACCGCAGGGCTTCCATGTAGCAGCACGTCCCAGCTGCTCGCAAATCGCGACCAGTACTTGTCGAGTATGCTGCAGAACTTGGCACGGCCATGTTTGGAGAACATGTTCTCGAGTGTGGAGCCATGATGTAGTAGGAAGACGGATTGGGCGCGTACGAGTTGCTGGATTAGAAGCGCAGGTGGACTGACTTCGCGCGACGAGTATTCGATTATGGGCTCGGTGGTATCGGTGCTCGAGTCGGTTCGTGTGAGGCCGCCGGTCGGTGGGAGTTGGGTGAGATCAATGGACTATGGCGGTGTTAGTTGTAGTGTTGCTGAGCACGTGGGCATACATACTGCCAATATCCACCATCCATTCTCCAGTTCGCGTAGAACAATGCGCGACTTTTGTGTTTCCACAGAGTCAACCGCTTCGCCATTTGAGAAACTCCTACTCTTGGTTAGCTGAAGACATGGAAAGAGCTCGCCTGCATGCGTCCTACTTCGCAAAGCCTACCATGCCCTGAGCTAGCCCGACCTGGCGAAGCTTCTCGTTCTCCTGCTCGCGCAACTCTTCCTCTCTCTCTGTATCGCCATCCTTCAGCCTGGAGCGCGTCTTGGCGGCCTTGGAGTAGTAGAAGACAATCTGCTGGTGGAAAGTCTCATCTGATGTTCCGAGCGAGGGATTGTATATGGCTAGAAAGGAGAGCTGCGCCGGGACGACCTTGGGAACCGCCGTGGAAGACATGTGTGCATTCTGCGACGTGCCTGGTCGCGCGGCGCTTCTGGTGGATTTGGGTGATGGATGACTACGTCACGCGTGCGGAGGAGACGCGGAGGACAAGACAGCCAGCGAACGTGCCAACGCGCAACCCCGACAACGAGCGGTCGTCGTGGCCTATTTGTATTCCATAGTCAGGCACTGCAGTCCATCGCGATGCGGCGGCCGGGCAGCAGGGATCCCTCCGATTGTCGTGGTCGAGATGCCCCACGGGATCACGATCGCAACGTCCAGACCCTGCGGCGCGGCTTTTGTCGCCGAGCTTCCTCACCTCTGAACCATGATCTGGAGGCTGCGCAGCCCCGTCCGCTCTTTGATCGCCACTCCTCCCTGCCGATGCAGCTCGACGTCTGCTCCCGCTCGGACGTCGGAGCCATTGCGGATTCTCTTCTGTGGCTCTGACGCCTTCAGCATCGCGTCACTGCGCGCCGTAGTAGACGCGAAGCGGCATGTGCCCGGCCTCATTGAGAGCATTGATGTCATCCACCGACCAGCGAAGCCCACCGGACGGGGACTGAAGACGTTGAGAGAGGGTAGGAACGTCGTTTAGCTACAACACAACATCAATTGACACGTTACAGTACCCATCAAGCAGGTAGCCACCGAAGAGCTCAACCTGCCCACCCATGTGATCGATACCTTCACCGGCTGGACTCCACCGACCCCCATACATGTCGTCATCGCCGTATCCTTCGGCCTCCTCGTCCCACCGCGAATCCTCAACTATGCGCAATACGGCGGTCTCAACGTGCATCCCTCGCTGCTCCCCGATCTGCGTGGCCCAGCACCCGTCTCACATGCCATACTGAAGCGGCGGCAGTACACCGGTGTCTCTGTGCAAACACTGCATCCAAGGCATTTCGACCGGGGTACTATCCTGGCCCAAACCCCCATGCCTGGCTACGAGATTGCCATTCCTTCCGAACCGAGTCCTGAGACGGCTCAGATATTGGAGCAACGGCTTGCCGCGGCTGGAGCAGAAATGCTCGTAGATGTCTTGAAGGAACGGAAATTCGTACCTCCGCATGAGGATGTCGGATGGTACGCCCACTCCGATGGTCCTATCGACCACGCACCGAAGATCACCAAGCAAGATCGCTTCGTCGACTTCAGAAACCATACCCTGGCAGACGTCATCGCCAAACGCAACGCACTTGGCGACTTGTGGTGTCTACTACCTACCGGTGATCGTCTGATAATCCACGACATCATACCTCATAATGCGGACGAGTCCCAACTCTCCACGATGGAACCTGGCCTTTTCGTAGATTCGCAGACCAAAAACGTGCTCATGTTCAAAGGAGCATGCGGCGAAGCCGGACACGTCCTAAAAAGTACATTGCAGGGACACAAGAAGGGTTCGGGCAACGCGAAGTTACTGTCGCTGTTCGGTCCTTCAGCGAATACAAGTGTAGGAGATGATGCTTATACGACCACCTTATACAGAGTTATCTGACAGTCTGCTCCGACCATTCCTCTTTGGCATCCTGGAACTCTTCAATCTCTTTCATTACTCTCACACTTTTCGACACAGTTGCTATTCGGTCTAACACAGCTGCGAAGCCCGCCGAGTCCGAAGTGTCATAGAACAGCTGTCGAGATTTTTCAGTGCTGCTGTCTACTGCCTCGTTCAGCGCTCCCAACAAGGTCAAGACATGCCCGTCTTTATTTGCCTGAGTTGCTTTCGTGTCGTTGACGAAGCGGGAGAACTCATGCGTCCAGCGAGTTATCTCGTTTTTCAGCTCTTGCGTCTGCTGTTTACCCTCTGCTGTCGATTGGAAGATATGCGGTATGGAGTCTTGCAGCTCCTGGTTTGTAGGCGCCACACTCGTCAGGAAATACGGCTTTGAGACTTTCGTCGGTTGTGCGTGGAGCTTTTTGAAGGCTTCGTACTCTTTTGCTCCGAAGGCACGGCGTTTGTTGTTGAGCTGGACAGTGGCCGCTGGTAGCTCGGCATGACCTATCAGACGCTCATGACGAAATGTACTCTCCGTATCGGGCTGATCTTTCCCAGACGTCACACCGCGAAAACCTCGCACGGATACTCCTGTTGAGATAGGTCTGATATGTGCATCTGTTTTGGGCGTTCCGCGCGGCAAAGCAGACAACGCATAAATGGTCATTGAAGGCAGCCCCTTGCCGTGATCCTCGATGGGACCAGATGATTCACCAAACAATGAGCCGCTCAATGGATTTGCAGTAACATCGACCTCGTTTTCAGCCGATTCCACACTTGGTATCGCTTCCATCTGAACTCCTTCTGGATCTGGATTCGGTTTCATAAGTACCGCGTGTATCTCTTTCACCATCGCTCCGGACTTCGCATCTACAGCTGGGTTGCGCAACAAGTTACCCAGCAAAGACTGTGTTTTTTCGTGGTTCTTCTTGCTACTTTCGCCAGCAGAAGCAACAGTCGCCCTGCAAGTAATTAGTCTATGCTCACTCCAGACTTGAGCTTCAAAGCTTACCAGAGCGCTGAGGTCAGGATGAGGTTTATCGCATCAGTATGCGACCTGAGCTTTTCTCGGTATTGTTGCAGCGACTGCTTCTCGCGGTCCCACCGTACCCTCTGCCAGTTGACTCGGATGCTCTTCTTCACATCTTCCAGCGTGCGCAGGTTATTCTTCTCTCTACCTGCCTCACCTTCGACGAGACGGTACTTCTTCGTTACTGTATCTAGCTCCTGTAGTGTTGAAGCGCAAGAGCCGATCATCACATCAAGCTTCTCTTTGAATCCCGCGTCGCGACTTTGGAGCCCTGGTCGTGCGATCACATCGTTAGAGACATCTTTGAGGTGGTCCAAAGCGCATTTTAGACTGAATAGCACCTCTTCGAGCTCTTCCAGGTCCCGCGAGGCTGACTTCCTTCCTGAGCTGACAGTCGAGTATAGGTCGTACGCTAATTGACTAACGAGGACTAGTTACAATCAGTACGTTTACGATACATCACGGTTACGTACACATACTTATGTCTCCTATGGAGAAGCCAAAAGACATCTTTGCTGTTCCTCGTCACGGTGTGAGGAAGGCAGATGTGTTAGCCCAGCTGAATGCGATGAAAGCGGGCGCAAGCGTGCGGCTGAGATCACCCCACCTGAAAAGGCATAAATGTTCCCGTCGAGCTGACTTGCACCCTACTTCAGTCATCACTTTCTCTCCGTCTTTCTTTATAGTCAAATCATCGGCCGCTCTACTCACAAAACCTTGCCGCCTTCGATGAGCTCTATAGCGCCTCCAGTCGTTCACACGAACTCCCGTACAATCGAGATCGAGGCCTTAGAGAACGTGCAGATTGCCGCCCGAAGAAATGTAGAACACCAATCCCAAACACCGACGTTCTCCACAGTTATGCATGAAGACGAGCTGGTTTCTGATCTTTTGAAACGGATCAAAGGTTACCATGTAGATCCCCAAACCAAGTACTGCTTTAACGTTGAATAGATTGGGGCTTCCGCAAGCCCGACAGCCTCTTCTATGGATCCATTGACATTAGCCAATATGTAAACAAACAGGTGGCGACAGATCATGACGAAGTCATCGTGGTTGGGGCCGACCAACCGTCGACAAAGCACACGATCAAGATCACGGAATCGCTCATTTCCCATGCGAACACACATTACGGCAAACCGATTGAGTTCAACATTAATTCCTCAACTTCTTCACAGCAAATCATCGAAAGCAACTGCGGGTTCCATGTATCTCTTGAGCGGACCCCCAGGATGCCAGATGATGACAAAATTCACCATTTGCCGGGCTCGCTGGGAAGTTACGATCTCTTCAGTGTAGAGGCATATGCCGACTATCTACCGCTCAGCATTAGAGAAGCCGGCGGTGTGTTCCTTCCAATGTGGCAAAGAGAGGCCATGTGGCTCAATTTCCCGGAAGAGTGTTATGGATGTGCGGTACGCGTCTTCGTTGGCCATGTCAACGCCGTCTCTGGTCTCACGACGGAAGACATGGATGGAAGGGAAGATGGAGAATTGGAACAAGATTACATTGTGGTTCCTGACCAGAAATGGCTGGACGGAATCTGTGTTTCCCCAGGTATCGTTCGGCAATTTGTTGCCATGCCACGTACGTCTGCCAATCACCTTTTCTAGCGGTCAATTAGATCTTTTCGTGGCTAACTCAACCTAGTTGGTTCCGGTTACACTGTAGAAGGGCAAAAGACATCCGAGGAGAAGCATGGAGGACTGCAGCTTGAAGTGACACCCAAGCTCTTCCACGATCAACGCTTATGGTCGCACGCCAGTGATCGCTATCTTTGCATCAAAGGAGGTCATTTCGCAACCTACAATGGCTTGAACGAACAGAAAACGCCTGAACAGCTTGGTTGCAAAGTCGGTGAAGTCCTGAGATCATACAGCATTGATCCTGACGGCTGGGAGTCGTTCAAAATCAAACATCTAGTGGGGTCAGAGACGACTATCAAACTTACAGCTTTCCAATCACCGGATGAATTCGAGGGAGAGTTTACATTGGGACACAGGCGAGTACTTTCAGGATCTCTACCTCGTTTGGAAAGCCCTCCATATCAGTATGGTTTTCATGATGCCCCAACCAGGATCGTTATGGGCAGCAGCTTTGGGGACGACACTCTTCCAGCAGATGTCCAAGAACCCCAGATCGTTATGACAAGAGACATCAAGGCCATGGGTCTAGCAGCGGGTGGAAAGCTGAGTTCGTCTATTCTCCCCTTACACTCACCATGCCCCATTCATTAACAGGCAACACAGTTCAAGACATATACAAAGACACCTACCCACCCACAACATGGAACCACGCCGCGGCGCGCATTCTGCACATCCATATCCTCGACCCCGTAAGCTGCGAGAAAGTGACGCATATCGTTCCGACACCCCCATCTACCGACGTCAAGGCATATACAGACGCTGGTGGAGATTTCTTCGTCGTTGAAGAGAAAGTCGACGAACGCCTTGATGGGGGTGACTTCGACAACGTCAAGAGCGTCAGCCAAATGGATCAACATATCGGCATAAGCACAGAACCGGAATTCGACCCAACTAGGCCGAAGATGTGCACGACGTGCGAACTACGACTGTGTGATTGCATGTAAGTGGCCCCCCTCCACTCCTTCTACCCGTTCCAATCCACCCTTTTCATACTAACACGCCCCAGTATCCGTCCCTGCGACCACCAATTCTGCAACATTTGCATCCAAAGAATCGAGCAGAACAGCGACGAATATGTGGACCCAGCGCGTAGGAACTGGAAGTGCCCGACTTGCGACATTGTTGTTTCGCATGTAGCAGGCTTTTCCGCGCCGATGAATCTACCGGGCGAAGAGCCGTTGCGCATCAAGGTACCAGTCAATGTGCTGACGATACAAGACGGGAGGGTGAGGTTTGAGAGTGTGCATAGAAGTAGGGTTTAGCCTATACCTTTTAGTGGTGAAGGGGCTGTCGATAGCATGATGAGATCTCTCACTTTAGTAGCGATAGAGCTACTTCCTTCTATAAGCAAAAATGCAGCGCGCTTATCGATTCTGCCATGACATTATGATGCGTCGCAGTCTCAATACGAATGTCACATCGACGTGGTTGGGGCAAAAGGATGCCTTCGGGGCAAAAAGATAATCCTCCTCCGGGAAGGCTCGAACTTCCAACCTCCTGATAACTAGCTACTAACGTAACAGTCAGACGCGCTAGCCAATTGCGCCACAGAGGATTTGTTGATGAAGTGCTGGTACAATTTCAACAATATAACCGTATGAGACAGCTGACTTTACTAGGTCGACGCAGCCTTGACGGATGTTTGTGGGCAACATGGGGTCGCAGTCTGCGCGTGGAGTGCAAGTGGGGTAGCTACATATTACTCCCGAGACCTCCGCTGTCACGCCACCTATTATATCGCAACAGCACCAACAATGAATAGGGATGTCACAACGACAGGATCGGAGAAACAAGAAGGGTGCATTATGCTTGAGGCCTGATATTGTGCTAGTCTTAGACAACTACAAGAAATGCGGAGCGTCTATATTCTACGTTTCTATTTGTCCTCATGCAAAAAAGTCTAGCAATCTCCACGCGAAAGCGCGTCAAGCGAGGTAGTAAATCCAAAAGAGAACGCTGAAGCATCATCTCAGTGGTCGCATCTGTATATCGGCGTCATCATCATCCCTTCGTTCGACGTCATAAACTGGCGACATCAAACCCCTTTCTTCCTCGCTGTCTCCACGATCCACTGGTTCAACGTTCTTCTTCGGCTCCTCCTTGTTCATCGCGACGTATATAGCTGAGCCAAGGATGAGCGACGACCCAACAATGGACAAAGCACTCGGCGTAGTGCCCCAGATCAATTTGTCGAAACCAAGCGCGAAAAACATCTGCATGTAGAGCATGTTCGTTGCGCGAGAAGATTTCTCGTATTGTAGGCCGGCGGCTAGGAGGAATTGCTATGTCACGTCAGCTGAGATGCGCAACGCAAGATGCTCGATTAAACGTACCATCACGAATCCACAGATACCCAGAAAGAGCAGGTAAGACCAATCTTTCACACCTTTAGGGAGTAGAAAGCCGACGCCTGGCAGGAAAACCATTGCCACCATACTAACGATCGTGCACCATGTTGCGAAGTAAGTGACAGATATGAGCGGATGCGCGCGCTTGCCGATCCATCGAATGGTGGTGTATGCTCCTGTTGATCCTATCACACCCAACATCGCGACCCCTACGGCTGCTGCTCGTTGCGTGGGTGTCACATCGTCGTAGTCCGCAGCGAGACGATCCGGCGAAGTCGCAGTGCCGTTTGACGGAATGGCGTCCAAGCCCCCGGAGGCAGGTGGGACCGGGTCGCTGGAATGCGATAGCGCAGAGAATAAAGAGACGGGTCTTGCGATCAAGACGACGCCGAATAGCGAGATGTACGCAGCTATCTGCTCCATCCTGGTGAACGGTTCGTTGATGAAGTATGAACACGCCCAGCAAGCGAGCGATGGTGAGAGGAATGTGATGACGGTGGCATCGGCCAGAGGCAGGTACATCAGAGAATCTATAGGAGTCAGCATTGTGTCAAGTACGTAAGACCAATATGATGTACTGTGGAATCCATCACAGCGATGCAGTAGCAATAACCTTCAGACGTGATTCAACATCGTACGAGCTGAGACAAGTTACTGCATACGCATGGTCCCAAGAAGGCGGGTATATGACTTACAGTACATGCCAAAGACTCCAAAGAAGCCAAATAATCCTCTGGCAACTAGCAACGACCGAACTTCCTTCATACCGAAGGGGAAGTGCTCTATCTTCCGATACCACATGTAGAACAAAGCACATGCCGTGGTGATACTCATCCTTGCAAACAAGATCTGAAATGGATGGTAGCCATTACCTATGAACTTAGGTTAGCATAAGCGCATGTTGTTACATGAGGATCATCTGCCTACCGCTGTTTCCTTCCATTTCCAATATCCTCGTGGTAACATTCATCAAGTTCCCAAAGAACTGAGCGAGCAAGACGTACGCCAAACCCTTGTTCGTCGTCCAAAAAGAGTCGATCTTCTCTTTGAGAGTCCGCGGAGGGGCGGATGATCGTAAAGCATATTCTTCATGGTATACAGGAGCAAAGTCTGGATTCCGACCAAGTCGTACGACATTCCCATCGTCTATCGATATGAGCGACGGGTTCGGAGAAGGTACACGAATTGCCCCGCGATGAACGCTTAGCGCCTCATCGGTTTTATCGCCGGGTTTAAGTGAGGATTCAGCCTCGATTTCGTGCTCGCTGAGACGCTGCGCGGTTTTATCATCGTCTCGAGTAATACTGGGAAATAGCGGCTGGACCATAGTGCTTCATGGGAGGTTCATGGAGGTTTGTGAGTCGGTGACGATGACATGAAGATATGATGGAAAGCGCTCGAAAGCGCAGCCATAGGCGCCACTCGTCAATGAGGAAGGCGCATCTATCTCGACGAGTCACAGGCACGCGACACTGCCCCGGATCCACACATTCGCCCCTCCTTCGCGTCGCTTCTCCCCAGACCCCGCTGGTTCATGGAAAAGTATCCATCTTGAATGCGACCACGCCGTACACGGAGCTTGAGAGACTTCCGTGAATTGTGTTGGGACTTCGGATGTGGTTTTCTCATGATGACGTTGGCACTCCACCTGCATTGGTTCACGGTAGTACCTCGGTTTTATCTTCAACGATCGTTCGATAAGTACCTAGTCCGGGAAAATGACCGGAATCACAAAGTCGGTCTTCACGTAGGATGGGGTTATCCGGGCCTTTTTTCAGCCCACATCTATGCGCGACCCAGACTCTGCCTCAGACAACCACGAACATCGGTTACAGGCAAGTTTGGTGGCAGCCACCCTCGGGAACGCGGAGAACGAGCTCAATGTTGACCTGATCGCCATCTAGTCACATTGATCCACTTGATGAAGGAACCATCAGCCCACCGTTGTCATGCATGGGTCGTCGAGACAAAGTTAGAGGCGTTCACATCGGCGCGTCGCGCCCACCGAAGGTTTACCACACCGATGAACGGCAGCAGACGTCAAATGTCGTACAGGACTAGCCATGCTTGCGCGCGTGGGTGTGTGGCTCAAACAAACTTCGAATACGAAGTTCAACGGGCGAACGGCTCGCAGCCACAAGATGGCGGCCTGAGGACGTTGCCGTAGGTCTGGTGATAGGCTACCATGAGGGACGTTGGATTGTTGCAGTGTGTTTCTCGGATCAAGGCGTCCCACACTATCTTCCATTGAGGTGTGACAACATATCACAACACCAAACCGGTGAATCCAGGCAGGGCTCCATCTTCGAGAGAATTTGTCAATATTCAATACTTCACAGCACACCACTACCGGCATCAGTAGCGCTAGTCCGCGGCCCACGAAAGCGAATTGCGGCATCTCCCAGCCCGCGAAACGGCGTCCACTGCTCTAGTGCACAGCATCACCGTCTGCCATCCATGGATATCGCTTGACCATCACCAACGCTACCACTCGTCACACATTGGAATTGATGCAACCGAAGCGCTCACCCCGGCCTGTCAGTCACACGTCCGCATACGGGGACCGCGCCAGGCTACCAAAACTGGGATACCCATTGTGTTACAGATAGATGAGAACCACAGCACCACGGCTGTCAGCGATAATCTCTGAACTTACTTTACGACCTTCGGGAAAGAAGTGTGCACCATCCTTGCGTCATGTGTGGACCCATAACAGCACCAGTAAGCTGGAACGAAAAAGGAAAATGAGTGGTGGAGCGTTTCATAACGACCACCATGACTCGCAGCTATGTATGGATACTATGGGGCGGATAAGGCTGGAACACACGGCAGCACGCGCTACACTCGACGTGATATTGGTGTGATGAATGTCTTTCTCATTGTAGCGCTCCTTCCCAGCGACCAATCGCTAACGGTTCCCAGGAAAGGGAACGTAATTTTCCAACACAGTGGATCTGCCTAGGTACCTCCAGGGGTCGGAAAGACTCTCTTCGCAAGACGGTGTCCGCGGCAGACAGCCTCAAACCCCCGACCTGCAAAGGGCATTCCTTTTACAAACCCTAAATGCGCATCCGAGACGAACTGCTCGCATTCGCATCTTTCTTTAATTAGTGATGCACCATTAGCCGTAGTGTGCTGTGTTGGTCTAGCGATATTCCTTTCCTCCCTTTCAAACCTTGGAATGAGGCATCGCGCGAGATTTCCTCTTGCACCAAGTAGACAATCCCCAGGCGAAAACCACAGTTCACGGTGCATTACCGACGTTTCAGGCTTGCCACGAGGAGACGCAGCGTACGCACAGATCGACTGCAAATCTCCCGCTCCAAGGCGCCCCGCGGGAGCGCGCGTTAACGAAAGCCCGTCGGCTAAAAGGGATTGGATTCTCCAACCCAACGTGACCTAAGCGCGCTGTATCACCAACAACCTTTTTGCATGATAGCCTTGACAACATGAAGGCATTGCGAATATTGCCTGTTTTCAAAATGGCAAAAAACAAAAATTTGTGTTGTCATATACGCAAGGGACCTTGATAATCTGCTTCGGACAGCTGTACCGACCGCTTTGCCTGCCCACTCAACGTTACGATTAAGTTTGAGGCCGCCGTTAAGACAAGCTAGGGCATATAAGATCGAGACTATGATGGCGCGCCTCGAGCGGAACAGACGATATCCGGTCACTGGTGTGCTTTTACCGTCTCTTTCCCCCCCTCCCCACATCACGAAGGACGGCACCGCAAACCGCTTCGGAGATGGCGACATTAGCGCGCTCAAGGAAGACCCATGATGTGAAAAGCCGCAAGAACCAAGGGTGATGTGGAAATACAAATCCTGGCTCCTGGTCGACGTTCTATGTGGATCGGCGTGGGGTACTGGATGATACATTCGGGTAAGGGAAGCTAGGCGGGAAGTTATTAGCAGCGAAGGTGATATAGGATAGGGTGAGGCGGGGCGGAAGCGGCATGAAAGCGAACTATCGAGTAGTTAGCCAAGAGGGATAGCTGCAAGCGAAATTTTCTTCGCTTTTAGCTGGGAATGACTGTACTGAGGGTATCATAGGACGATCAGTATTTCTTCGCCCTCATGACTATTTGCAAAGTTTATGCTGTGGGACTTGGTGGCTGGGAAGCCAAGGCGTGGATGGCGAGATGAGGTGCAGGTGTGTGTTATACCACGCGACTCGTATTGCGACTACCGTTGCGCTGGGAAGCAAAGCCGTTGTTCCCTGGCGCCTAGGCTGGATTGGCCGGCTCATTGCATGGTATGGGTATGAGAACACCGCGTTCGCGTTGTTGGAAGAGAATGCGAGTGCAGTGCAGTATGCATTGAGATTTGATCATGCTGTCTCGCCAAACGATACCGAAAGAAGACTGACAGCGCATATGTCGTGAGAGCCAACATCAACGTCGAGAAACCGCATGCAGTGCGATAACGGAGAATAAATGCAGTGCAACGAATATAGTCAACCTCCACAAAAGGCCACCCACCACATCCCTCCACTTCGCTTGCTTTGTCCCAAAAGCGAATCTTGACAGCTAGTACGCACCAACCTAAAGTCCCACAGACTGTTAAGATGCCCATGCCTGTAGTGCCCCATCCTATCCATCCATCGCGTTGCTCGACACATGTCGTGCAGATACCGGTAAACCTTCCTTTCGTCCCAATGCAGATCCACCTCCACCACCACCTCATCATGCTTTCGCAGTCGCCTACGCTGGCCCCCTTCCTAGCATCGCTCTAACGCCTGCAGCCGCATACTCATGCGCGACGTCTGGCGCGCCCGGCAGGCTGGGAGCGGCATACCTGCTCTGGCCTCGCACTTGACGCCCGAAGCTCTCGTCGTCATACACGACCGAGTCGTTGGTGGCGGCAATGTGCCTTTGGTAGAGTTGCTGGGATGCTGCGTCTTGTGATGCGCTGCCTACACCGCTGAGTGTGAGGCGCTGCTCTGTGCTGCCTGATCCGAAGGACTTTTTCAGTGCGGGCACCGACAGGTAGGATGCTGTGCCATTTTGCCAGTTGTCCACGTCGGACCCCAGGAAGCTCTGGTTGCTGTAGGGCGTTGATCGTAGACGCGTGTAGTCGAACGTCTTCCAGTCGTTTGGAAAGGCTAGGTCGCCTTGTTGATGCACGTTTTTGCTTCGCGACATGCTTGCGTTGATGCTGACGTTGCCGCCTGATGGTGCGTTGTAGGACGATTGCACCCATAGAGGGTATTCGTAGCTTTTGGAATAATCTGTGGATGCTGTATGTGTACCTGTTGTCGACTGACGTACGATCTGGTCGTTACCGCCGTTGCTGAGAGTTCCTACGTTGGAGTAGGTGAGCTTCTGGGTCCAGGTAACTGCTCTTGAACCTGTGGGCGTGTCGAACGTGGATTGAATTTCCAGATTGCGAGTGACTTGAATAGAGTAGTCCAGTGCGATGCCTGCGCTGCTGTTCGAGTATCCGCGTCTTGACGAGTGTAGTACGATACTGGAAGTCGTAACAGTGGTAGGCGCGGGTCCTGTGATAGCGTTGTTGCCAGTGTCAAGCCAAACGAAGATCTTCCCAGTAACGACCCAATTCGATTCGATGGCTGTCGTAAAGTTCCCGTTCCCACGACCATCATCATCGACGCCGACAACCTGAATCTCGAAGCTATGGGCCTGGCCGTCGCTGAGCAATGGTATGAACGGAGTGATGTCGATTTCGTCTTCTCGCAGATCGAATGCATCGATGCCTACGATGGGCCTCCAAAAGCCAGGAACAACGCCACCGGTGAAGATGACGGGAAAGGGCCAGGCGACTCCAGCCAATGATCCGTCGATGAGTAGACGAAGTTCTCGGAAGGCCGAGTGACCGTATAGCGTGGTGTCATTGCCGAATGCGTTGGTGTCTGATGACAAGACGTTGCTCCACCAGAACTCCTCAGCAGCCTGGCCACATGCGGAGATCGAGAAGGCCGCCTTCTTCGCGTTCTGCGGAAGCACAACGCTGTTGACTGCTCTTGTCTCCGGTACGACGAACACGCTGGATGCATCTTGACCCGACTTCCGTGCCGAGATTGGGATGATGACATCTGCGGGCTCGATAGCATCATCGGCGGTAAAGAAGGTGGCAGTCAACGTCGTATACCAGGAGCCGGTGTATGTATCGTCGACGATATTACCGAGGTCGAAGATTATCTTTTGTGGCGTATTGAAAAGAGATTGGTAGCTGCTCATGTCCTTGACATATGTCCATATTATGCCGGCTTGTGTTGGCTCGGCAGTGGAAGTCCGGAACACTTCGGTATCATCAAGGAACATCACACCGAGTCGGTCAAACTGCCGGCCGGCAGAGGTAACGGTAAAGTTGAAGGTAACCCTGTTGAAGCTGCACTCCGGCGGGTTGAATTGTCCCACGAATGGCTGTCCGTACGAGGAGGCAAATGTATGGACCATCAGGGTCTGCTGGCATGCATCAACTGGACTCAGGACTGGTGGCGCAACCTGTAGGCATTCTAGCAGAGATGATTCGTTCGTAGCACGGTTTCTCAAGGACACGGTCTGGGGGTAGGGTTGCGCAAGCGGGGTAGTCGTGAGTAAAGCGGAAGTAGATTGAGATAGCCTCATTAGTATTAAGAGCAGAGTTACGAGACACAGTCGTCCGTTGTTGGGTACCGCTCCCATAGGTGATGCCAATTCTAATAGTTCGCCGTTACGCCTTGCATGAATTCCATCGCTCTTGCGCTTCCAATCGCACACGCTAAACGCCATTTTAGCAACCGGTCAGTAGCGGTTTGCTGTGAAAAACGCCGTTACTCCGTTGGAGAGGTATCTTGCGGAAGTCCAGGTATCTTGGTACACCGATGAACGCCAAATAAGAAAGTCGATGACGATGCGATAGCCAGCTGATGAGAGTCAGTACGTGATGCAATTTGTAACAAGTAGGCGAAACTTACATCGTCAATTCAAAAATGCAGCTGTTGCCTCATTCAAAATGCGGCGGAAGGTTGCGGAAAGTAGGTGTTGTGGGCGAAGGCTTGTAAAGGTGGTTCGGAGGTAGATCGTTGTTGCTTTGCCGTTCCGTGCTTTGCTAATTCCGTGGATCCCCGCCGTATGAGAACGAGAGCAGTTGTTTCCGGCAAGCTCTTATTGGCCGCCTTTGTGATTGTCCCAGAATCTCTTAGTAGCGTTGCGAACTATTTCGTTATCTCCGAATCGTGTGCGATAGTAGTTCATGAGCGCAAATTCGTCTGGTGGGAGGATGTAGGATTGTGGTTGAGCGTTGAGTTTTGACCAGACCACGGCAAGGCGTTTCTCAAGGAATTGGGCAAGTTGCTGGTCAACGCCTCCGTCACTGTTTTGAGCAACGTGAACAGCCTGGCCAAGAGAGAGGTAGCCGTGGCCTGCTATATATTCCGTGTTACCACCCATGGTTGCTGTGTAATGCAGGATATATTGGTTGGTGATGAGGCTAAACGAGAGAGGAAGGAGCGACGGCTGATAGTAGTATAGTAGTAGTGTCGACAAGATAAGGAGCGTGGGAGTGGAAGATAATGTCAAGAGAGCGGTGACGGGTAGTGAGACACGGTGCAGAATAGGTGAGGAAGTAGTGCGGACAGGTAGTCTATATACGAAGGCATATTAATAGGCAAGTTGAGAATGAGACGAACCCACGTGGAGAAACAGGCAGATCCTGAACAACAACTCATGCAGCAGCGCAGGGTAAGAGCTTAGTCGAAGCCTCAAACAGTTGGCTCCGGGAGCGTGCCGTTTTGGGCGCTGTCAAGTTGTGAAGCGAAGGAATGGGTGTAACACGAAAGCACAGTATCATCCCGCCGAATAATGTGAGAGACCAGGGCCCTGGTCCGCCAGGAAGTCACAAACGGCGCCGAGCTTTTGCAAGGGCATGGCGATCAACTCCAGAGTCCAGCCGAGCTAGCAGGGGCCACAGACGACGCTGGCGCCGTTCGAAGAGGAGCCCTTGTCCGGTGCTTTGGGACGTCAGAGGGCAGAGGAACGCTCGTGACCACGGGCCAATCAAGGGGCTAATGCGGCGGCAAGAGGACGATGTTAAGGCCAGGTAGATGAATAGTGGTCTCCATCACTCGTCAGCTCAGTACCCAAAGCTCAAAGTTTGAGACTGGTGCGGTTGCAGGGTTGTGGGAACGCCGAAAACTTTAAAGGATCAACTTGCAAACCTTCCCAGGCGCTCGCAGCCAGGCGCCGAGCCGTGCTGCAGGAATGTCGGCTAGAGAGTTGGACGAAAAGGAAAGGGCGAGCCAGTTAATGACAGGTGAACGCCCACTAAAGCAGATGAGCATACTATACAACAGTCGGCGCAGGTTGGCGATGTCGTGATGCAGTTCGGCAGTGGGAGTGGCGCCGGGAATTGCAAACGCGTCGCCAGGCATCAGGACGAGTCGGCGACTGCAGCGCAGCGGAACCATGTGTGGAACCTTGTCAGATCGAATCAGGCTAATGTAAAACGTTGGAGACTGTTAGAGGCCGGATGCGTCCGCGAGATGCCAACGCCCTTGAGCAGACGCTCGACCATGTAGATGCAGGCAGTTGTCATACCCAAGGATGATCAGCCCCACCCACCGCCCACCCAGAGTCACCCCATGCGAGGCGAGGCGACGGGATAATGGCATGCGGTTGCGAGGAGAGTGGGTTGTGAAACGATTGTATTGACTGGACTTCTGTAACGGAGGGTACTCCTGTTCCACTACTCCTGCGCTTTCGGTACCAGCGAACAGGTTCGCATACAGAGAGAGCTGGACCCGCACGGTCGATAATAAAGCTACGCGTGGTGACCCCGCAATTTAGAATTCAAGATGCACAGTAAATACGACGCGTGAAATGCAATCCGGCACGCCATGGAGGTCCATGCTGGCGCGATGCATCTCGAGTGTGATGCCGGCTGGCAGGCGGCGGCCTAGTTACGCCACACTTCGGGCGTGCTCGACGGGCTTTTGGGACTGCAAATGACCGGCGCGCTTGCGAGACATCACACTGATGTTGCTGGCCAAGCGACGGCGAAGGAGTCGGGCGTGCGTCGCTGCAAGTGCTGCCCATGTTCCGCCCGCAAGGGGGCGTGGTGCTATGCCGCTCTGGTCATGGACTGCAACAGATGTTTGCAGGAAACACGCTTCGAGACTCCCCGAGGAAGCTCTTGGCCACGGTTGGGCTAATGCAGGCTGACGCTTCTGTCAGGCAATTCTGAGATTGTGCGCACGACACGACCCCGGGGTGCTGGCTTTGGACGAACGGCAGGGTCAGTTCGCCACGTAGAAACTGAAGGCGTTCAGGAAATGAGACAGTTCTGGCAGAGATGGGCGAAACTGTTGAGCGGCTGCTCCACCAGGGCTGCTTCACGCCATCAGTGCGCGGCGTGACATATCATCGGTAGGATCCGACATGCGACATGGCCACGACAATGACACGAGGGTTGAGGCAGCGACATTTCGGTCAGTGACTCGGTAAACTCTGGCTTCTTCTTTCTAGCGCGTCCACGGCGGGATGTTGTGCGTCGTCTTTCTGCTTCGAGACGAGAACCACGAGGTGTATGGATGATGCCCGTCGCCGACGGTATGCTCCGGGAAGCGATTACTACTACAACGACTGCGTGTGGTATCTACGGGTAAAGCAGAGTCGGCAATCGCGTTAGGAAGAGTGCATGCGCGCGCGGTGCATGGCGCCATGGGCCCTCGTGCGGCGACGGTGAATCTGTCGGGGGGCGGGATTACCATGATCCGACGGACGGACCCTGACTAAATTATATGGCAATGGTGACGATGCACCAACGGCGGTAGCTTTGGCGAGGTTTTGAGAGTGCGACAACGAGCCTGAGTCGACCACACCGCCCCACGTGAAAGCCGATTCACCTGCCCTGCCCATCTCCGATCGTCCATGCCATGAAGCCACGAGTCGCCCGCCTGTGGCCTGCCACGCTGCCGTTTGGCGGTGCCGCCAGTGGTGCCGCCTCACGCCCATCGGCGCCCTTCCTCCGCAACTTCTTCACCTCTGCCCAACCCGCCGCCCGGCCCAGCCTAGGAAGCAAGTCGCTGCACCACGGCGCCCTGCTGCTGTTCCGCTACCAACGATCTGCCCTCGGCCGCCGCTTCCGCTCGCTGCGCTTCAAGAGCGACAAACCGCCCGTCCAGTCGCACAACCCCACGCCACACCTTGGCAGTCCCGAACCTGCGCCCTCGGTATCGCAGCGACTGAAGAAGCTTTCTCGCGAATATGGCTGGACGGCAGTGGGCGTCTACCTGGGCCTGTCCCTCATCGACTTCCCCCTCTGCTTCATGGCAGTGCGGCTACTGGGCACGGACCGGATAGGCCACTACGAGCATGTGCTGAAAAATGCCCTCTGGAGTGTCGTCCGCCTCGTTATTCCCGACGCTGGCAAGCAGCCAGCAGAGGCCGAAGCCGACGAGACCACTGCCGAGGCCACCGCGAGGGAAGGCTACGTTGAGGCTGGAAAGGCGGTTGGACACGACGGAGGGTCAAACGCATGTACGCAAGACCGCTGCCTCTGGTGCTGTATACACTGCTAACAACCACCACAGCCATCTGGTCACAGCTCGGCCTAGCCTACCTCGTGCACAAATCCCTGATCTTCTTCCGCGTGCCACTTACCGCAGCCGTCCTCCCCAAGGTGGTCAAAACACTAAGGAGCTGGGGCTACAACATCGGCAAGAGGAAGCCCAAGACGCCGCCAGTCTAATTGCGAACAGACTTTCACCACCCGCCCACGGGCCATCGAAACCACTCCTTGTACATTCATGCATTACGACTTTGTAACAACATACACCTGTAGGATACGCATGTCAGACGAGCACCTCTGTTACATTCTACTAGTAGCGCACCAGCACATCTAGCGTCTCTTGACGTTGACCGCAATGTATATTCTCGGTCTTGCAGCGGCATGTCTTGACAATAGACAGCAATTACCGATACACCCAGATTCCCCTTTCAATACAATTAATTGTACAGCAAATCCCTGCGGTGGTTCTCTTGACTTTGACACCTTCCATTCATTCCCGCGCGTCTACTCTCGAATGCCGAGGACGGCACCTCAGGACAAGGAGCGTTTCAGGCCTCCCCCACGATCGCTCGCCAAACCTTGTCGGTCCAGACGAGCCGCGGAGTGCTCTCCGCAGATTGTGCTCAAACCTAGCGCAATAACCCCGCTGCTGGGAATGTTGCTAGAAGAACTTCAATCGTTGGCAAAACCGCGCTTACACAAGGAGCACCCTGTGCTCACGAGGGTACCAGCCGTGCGAACAGGAGCCGTAATGTTATGCACAACATACAAGGCGTGCAGGGGAGCGTGGCCTTATTCTCGACCGCACCCTCGCACTGCTGTTGCCGGCCCTGAACGTTGGGAATAGTAGTAGCAATACCAAGCCGAACTACCATCGACTTCGGACCTTCGGACCTTCACCGTATATCGGACTTCATCTTTGAGCTTTCCCGGAACGCGGTATCAAGACTGCAAATCTTCGCCCAAGTTGCAGAGTTTTGCCGCATGGGACATGGTGTTCACATCCGAGCTTTACCCAGTCACCAAGTTCCACCTCGTTGGACTATCCCTTTTGCGCATCGGGCCTTCTTGTGTGGAAAGTTTCCCTACCTTCGGGATTTCCCCTACACTCTAAATCTACTCGCTTACCCAATTC